GCTGCGGGGGTGGTGTTGCCGGGTGGCTGTTACCCAGCCGTGCGGCGAGCTCCTGGCTGCACCTATTCCTGCAGATGTGGACGAATGCTCCCTGGAGTACAGCCCTTGCAGCCAGCTGTGCAGCAACACCCCCGGCGCTTTCAGCTGCTCCTGCCTCCAGGGCTACACCCTGTGGCACGGCACCATCTGCGAAGTGGCAGGTAGGGTGAGCCAGCGAGCCCGGACTGTCTGAGGGGCTGGGCAGTGCCCTCAGCTAGCTGTGTCCCCACTTACCGGGTGACATACCCCTCACCCTGGCAGACAACGCGACGCAGATCCTGGTGGCTGTGGGGCAAGACCTGGCCCTTCTGGATGTGCGGACACAAGCCTACCGGCCCCTGCTCTCCACCGAGACCGAACCCCGTGCCTTGGTGTACGACCTGCTCCGAGGAACCTACTACTGGCTGACCGAGGATGGCGAGCTCCGTGCTCACCTCCCAGGGAAGGGCACGCGGCCCCTCTATGCAGGTGGGGAGGAGTGATAGTGCTGGGTGCTGTAGCTGGGCTGAGGTGGGTGCTGAGAGCTGGCCTACCACCCCAGCCCTGCCTTTCCCATAGAGGAAGGGGCAGCCTGGGTTTTGATTCCCGGCCTGGAGCAGGAGTGGCATCCCTTAAACCACTCTGTCTCTGCAGATGCTGGGGAGGTGAACAGCATCTCCATGGACTGGTTCACGGGGCAGCTGTACTGGGCCAGCAGCCACCCTGCAGCCATTTGCGCGGGGCTGGGTGATGGCGGGGGCTTTGTGACAGTGCTGGGGAAGGATGTGGCACCGGAGCAGCTGACAGTGCATCCGGCTGCAAGGTGAGGAGTGCGAGTGAGCCAGGGTTGGCCCTGGGCTGCTGGGTGAGCAATGCTGGTGCTGGCCGTGTCATGCCTGCTGTGGGGCTGTGTCAGCACTGGTGTTATGCTGTGAAGTGGGTGCTTAGTGCCTGCCCCCAGGTCCCTGTATTGGGTCAACCGCGGGCAGAGGGGACGGACAGTCATTGCTGCAGCTGGCATGGATGGCTCAAACCGACGGGAGCTCACAGTGGTGTCCATGGAGGAGCCTGTAGGGCTGAGCCTGGACCATGTGGCTGGCAGGCTGTACTGGATCAGCGAGTACAAGGAGGTAGGGATGTGGGGCAGCAGGGCTCTGCTTCCCCCTAGGTGCTGGGATGCGATGAAATGGGAGTGGGGAGGGTGGCCCTGGTTCCCCTGTGGCTACAGCCAAGGTATGGGAGTGAGCAGGGAGTGGTTCCCAGGTTTGGCACACAACCCTGGGCTGGGAGGGGGAAGGCATCTCTGAGCCCCGTAGCTGCGGGACAGTGCCGGGGTGTGAGGGTGCTGCATGGTCACTGTCCTTGCCTTGTCCCCAGTCCATCGAGACACTGCGGGTGGATGGCAGCGTGCGCCACTCCTTTCCTGCCGTCCTGCGGAGCCACACGGAGCCCCTGGGCCTGGCTGTGTTCGAGAGCCGGTTCTTCTGGACCGATGGCACAGAGCTGGTGTCGGCCACCCGGGCCGCTCCCCAGGAGCACGCTGTGTTGCTCCGTGCCCCTGTCTCGGCTTTCACTGTGCTGCATGCGCTGCAGCAGCCTCCCCGTGAGTACTGTGCTGGGTGCCCTCACGGGTGCAGGGCTGGCAGCACCCCTACCACTTCCCGGGGTGCTAGGGGAGGCTGCGCTGGGTCCTGGTCCTGTGGCAAGGCATTGTGGGGCTGGGACAGAGGGGACACATGAACCCTTAGGAAAGCTGCTGAGTTCAATTACTTTGGGTAGACCTGAGCCCTCCTACCTCATGTGACACTGCTACCCTGCCTGGGGTAGCTGGTCCATATCCAGCCTTGGGACAGCCTGTGGGTTTTGGGGATTGGGAGAGGCGTGGAGTGTCATGGCTGCCTGAGCTCTTCATGTCCCCTTGCTCCCAGGGGACACTGCTGCGTGTGCTCCGGGCCTGTGCAGTCACCTTTGCCTCCTGTCCCCTGTGCACCCTCGGGGCTACAAGTGTGCGTGTCCAGAGGGCCTATTCCTCCAGCCCTCGGGGAAGTGCGCAGGTGAGCAGCGTCTGCCAGGTGGACTTGGCTGTCTGGGGCGGGATACATCCCTGTGGGAGCTGGAGCGGGGCCGTAAGAGGCTGTGAATTGGTGGGATGAGATTCCCAGCATATGCCAGTGCTGTTACACTTCTGCTTGGTTCATGCCCCTTGTCCTTCATAGGAGAATGGCTTGAAATTGAGAGAGGTTGAATTAGATATAAAGAAGAAATTCTTCATGGAGAGGGTGGTGAGGCACTGGAACAGGTTGCCCCATCCCTGGAAGTGTTCAAGGCCAGGCTGGATGAGGCTTTGAGCAACCTGGTCAAGTGGAAGTTGTCCCTTCCCGTGGCAGGGGGGTTGGAACTAGATGATCTTTAAGGTCCCTTCCAACCCAAACCATTCTATGATTCTGTGCTGATGTTCAGTGCCTCTGGGGCCATGCTCAGGCACCTCCCTCCTACCTCACAGAGCTGTCCATCGTGTATGCGTCGGGCAAGGCCATCTCCCTGGTGCAGGTGGGCCCTGGAGCGCGTGTCAGACAGGTGCAGGAGTGGCAGGAGACCCTCTACCTGCAAGATGTAGACTGGCAGAAGTCGGTGCTCTATGGAACGGATGACCGTGGGACGCTGCTGCGTGTCGTGGGGCACCCTGGCAAGAGAGAGGCCATCATGACTGGGCTGCCAGGTGAGACTCTGTGGGGTGATGGAGGGTGTACTCCCCCTTTGGTTCTCCCTGAGGATCTCCTGGGTGCAGAGCACAGCAGTCCCATGGTGCCCACACTGGGGCCATGCTGAGACACTGGGCAGCTGCACCCTGGATTTAAGGGCAGAGGGGCCCAGGCAGAGGAGCGAGGTCATGGCACAGCCCCGTAACCTCTTGCCTACCTACTTTTGCCAAGTCTGCTCTGCCCGTGTGGACATCCGCTCAGGGAATGTGTACTGGCTCGCCTGTAACCGGAGAGACATCGGGGTGATCAAGGTGTCTGACATGTCCTCGCGCATCCTGCACCGTGCTCGCAGCAGCATCCAGCACCTCTTCTTGGACTGGCAGCGGGGCACTCTGTACTGGCTAGCCCGTGGGCAGCCCCTGCAGCAGCTGAGCTTGTCTGGGGGTGCTCCGTGGAATGCCTGGAACGAGACGTGGCCTGGAGACCTACCTGCGGCCATGGATACCAGAGCCTTCAGCCTGCTGTGGAGCTCAACCCTGGGTGAGACCTGGTGGTATCTGGAGCAGGGAGCAGAGGTGGTTGCTATAGGCAGGAGTGACCAGCCATTCCCTACATGCAGCAGGTCCCTGCCTGGGCAGTGGGGCGCTCATGGGGTGGACTGTCCCATGGTTGAGTCCCTGGCCTCAGCCACGAGGTCCCTACCATGGCTGTGGGTTGTGGTGGCACAGGGTGGGCCATGAGGGTTGCCTGTGGGCTTGAGTCCTACTGTCCCTCTGCTTTGCAGGCCTGCGGGCACTGAGTCTGACCAAGCGGCAAGCAGTCACCCTGGCACCCAGCTGGTCCCATGGCCTTGTGGCTGCCTTTGAGCCATACCTGGTGTCAGCAAATGGGACGGCTCTGATGCTGTGGGACCGGAGGACGCTGGCCCTTGTGCTGTCTGTGCCAGCAGCAGGCGTTCAGGGAGTGGTGGCCTTCGTGGGCTCGGAGCTGCAGGCTGGTAAGAGTGGCTCAGTGCCTGGTGCTAATGCAGTACCCAGGTGGGGCTGGGTGGTCCATACTGCTCTGAGCTGGGGCAGGGTGCCTGGCTGCTGGTGCTCTTGGAGATACCCAGAGTGTAGGGAGGGCACAGCCCCAAATCCAGGCTCATGTTCACATGCCTCTGCCAGTGCCACCAAGCAAGGGGTCTGCCCTGCCATTCCCCCCACCTGTGATCACCACTACAAGGACAAGCACCACTGCTGCTCGACCCACCACCTCCACCACGAGACCTACACCAAGCAAGACCACCACTGTGCTTACTACTACTTCTGCACCAACCAGCAAGGCTACCACAACACCAACCACCACCATCCAGTCAACCAAGACCACCTCTGTGCCAACCACCACCCAGACCACAACAACCGAGACCACCACTGTGCGACCAGCCACCACCAGAACCACCACCAGCACCACCAGAACCACCACCAGCACCACCAGAACGACCGCCAGCACCACCACTCGGTCTTTGCCGACAAAGACCACTGCCCTAAGGCCAACTACTACCACCCAGCGCCCAACCAGCCCTGCACGGATCGTGCCACCTACCCCACCCCTCTCGTCCAGCCCTGTGTACCCCCTGACCCCGGTCCTCCATCTGTCATGTCCTCGTACACACGTGCCCTGCCGTGATGGCACCGAGTGCGTGGCCCAGGAGTACGTGTGCGATGGGGAGAAGGACTGTGCGGATGGCTCTGATGAGGATGGATGTGCCCAGCTCTGTGACACCCCAGGTAGGAGCCCTTCCCCAGTCCCCTGTGAGACTGGGTTGCCCTGTGCCTCGGCTTCTGGCTGCTTCTCGGTGGAGTTGGTGGTATGGGATTCTGGGAAGGTCTGAGTGGGGCCTGGGCTCTGATGCTTGTGATGCGGCATGCTGGTTTCTTCTGAGCTTGGCACTAGGCTGGAGGTGCTGTGAGTCAGAAGAGGACAACAGGGCTGGCCCTGCTGCTCACGGTGACCTAGATGTGGCTGAGCTGAGACTGCCTCAGTCGCCTTGCTCGGGACCTAGGCTGATGGAGAGGCACTGACTAAGAGGGACCAAGCCCTGTTGTATGGGGCCATCCCAGGTCCCTGGGGTGGCTAGCAGAGGGTGTGGGCATCCTAGCTGCTCACTGCAGGTTTAGCAAAGCCCCTTTGTCTCCCCAGGGGCATTCCACTGCACGAGTGGAGCCGTGTGCATCGGCGCTGGGGAGCGCTGCGACGGAGTGCCACAGTGCCCCGATGCCTCAGATGAGACAGGCTGCTGGAACCCCACGAAGGAGTGTGCCCTGCGCTGCGATGCTGCCACCCGCTGCGTCCCTGAGAGCTGGCTGTGCGACGGCCATGCTGACTGCCTGGACCAGACCGACGAGCAGGGTTGTGGTGAGACCCTGGGGCTGGGTGGGACAAGGGCTTCTGGGGGTTACCTGCCCCACAGGTGGGTGCACCAGGTTTCTCGTGGGTCCAGGAGCAGGCACGGACCGGGAAACCTGCTGAGCAGCTGGAGGGGTCATACCCTGATCTGTGCCAGCTGGTGGGATGCGGATGGGGTCCGTGCCTCTGCTCAGCCCTCACC